GGAAACCCAAGGAGGGGTCGCTATGAGTCGGGGCCGACTCGACGGCACATAACAACAACAACAACAACATGTATATATTTGTATACATAGGCATATACACATACATGTATAACAAAACAAGGAAGAAATACTGAAAACATTTACAGGCCCTACAACTAGTCATGTGGTTGTAGGTGGTATTTAGAACTACCTTCTTCCACCCCCATTCCATATTCTCTTTACCCACAGCAAACACCTCAGTTGGTCATTGTACTTTGCCTGGTTGGGTTACTCAAACCTTAATTCCTAAGGAGTCTGGGCCATTAGTAGTCATGTCAAAATTGAGTTGCCATAATTTCCCATTGACTTTAATCATAGGGCTTGGTAGTACTAAGAGACATCCTAAGTGATCTCCTGTATTCCAGACATACTCTTCTCTGCCTCCATTATGTGCTTTCAGTCTGATCTCACGTTAGTAATCACATTGGTCACAAAAGCTAATACGGTAACTCCCTTTTTACTTAATTGATCCAGAGGCATGAGAAGCCCAAGTGGCCAGGTGGCATTCTTAACTTCCAGTTCAGCAGAATTAACTGTTGTGTCTCTTAATGGGAGCATTACTCCCTTTGGAACAAAGACCTCTAGACCTGCAGAACATAGGATTGTAGGAACCAGGGAGCAAAACTTTTGAGAGTAGTTCACTGAGATTAATAATGAGTGGTGCCATTCCCATATCCACCTCCTGGTTCCTAGATTCATGAATCCTGCCTGTGGGAGAAATAGCACCAAATATTGCACACTGGTTTAGAGCATATACAGTCTGCTGGAGAACATTGCTCTAATACTGCAAGGTATTGGCACCTAGCTAGCACTGTAATTGTGTTTTTAGAAGGTTATTCCATTGTCCTATCAAGCCAGCTGCTTCAGCTTTAATTCCATGAGCATGGACCCATTGCCACACTTCATCTGCTGTGAAGTGAGTTCCTTCATCTGAGGCAATGCTGTGTGGGATAGCATGACGACGGATAAGGTGTTCTGTAAGTCCACAGATGATAGTTTTGGTAGAAGCATTGCATGCAGGGAAAGCAAATCTGCATCCAGAGTGTGTCTGTTGTAGTAAGAACAAAACTACCCTTTCTATGATGGAAGTGATCCAGTGTAATCAACCTGCAACTGAGTTGTTGGCTGATTACTCTGAGGAATGGTGCCCTATCAGAAACTCAGAGTTGGTCTCTATTGCTGGCAGATTGGGCATTCAGCAGTGGCTGTAGCCAAGTTGGCCTTGGTGAGTGAAAGTTGAGTCAGTGTGTCTATGCATATTCTCTATCCCTGCAAACATGGCCATTTTATCCATGAACCTTTTGGGCAGTGATGGGAATGGCTGGAGAAACAGGCTGACTGGTATCCATAGAATGCATCATCCTATCCACTTGATAGTTAAAATCTTCCTCTGCCAAGGTCACGCTTTGGTGAACATTCACATAAGACACAAATATCTTCACTCTTTGGTCCATTCAGAGAGGTCTGTACACATGCTTCTTCCCCATACCTCCTTGTCACCAGTTTTCTAATGATGTTCCTTCCAAGTCCCTGCCAAACCATTGGCCACAGCCCATGAATCATTTTATGCAGTTGCACATCTAGCCATCTCTCCTTCTAAGCAAAATGAACAACATGGTGCAGTGCTCAACGTTCTGC